CAACCACAGTTGAAATAACAGATGTTTAGACAGGGAAGCTAGAATAGCATGATCTGGAATCTGTGGGAGTGATTCCTAGCTTACCAAAAATATATGAATGGAGAATTTGATGAGAGAGCGTGTGTGCAAGTTTGCATTCACAGTGTAAATGCACTGTTTTGAAAAATCCCCTTTGCCTCTCTGACAGGTGATGTTCTGTAATCCTGTCATTGAGAGAAAGCCAAAGCTGCAGCGACAGAAACGTATTTTCCCCAAACAGAAAGGTGAGCTCCTCTAGAACTGAAAGGGAACCGACTATCTGGGGTGTGTGGGTGAGGGCAGGAGTTTGCACAAGTCGTCTGCCATGCGCTCCTATCTCGTTAACTTTGTGAGACACGTTAAAATGCTTGCTAATTACTGTGTGTGAGTAGGTGGATTTCATTATTATGTGATAATTTCAGTCACAAAAAACTCAAGCTGTCTGGTTGCAGCATAGTGTATGATGTGATATTTTTGCACTGTTTCTATTCACAGTTACCAGTGTTAGGAAGATACAATTACTACTATTTAACAGACTTCCTAGCAAGATCTAGCACTTGAGCTGTATTAATTTGCCCAGCAATGTTGTTACTGAGGAAAGGACAGGTATTGGAAAACTTCCTGGAGAGATCTAAATCGTAGAAGACTGTAACATGAGCAGGCTACTGATTGTCAAGGCTTTGGAACTGGCATGTCAGACTAGGGACTGGAATAACTCACATACTTTCTTTTTAGTCTGCAACTTTTTTTTTTCCATGAAGCTGAGTAAGGTAAGATTTTACATACAGAGGATTCTTGGCAGTGGGGATAAACTTGATTTTATATTTATGGAGGTGGTAAAAATAATAAAAGGGTCCCAAAAGCTTTATACTGTTTCTGAGATATTTTCAGAAGCTTTCTGTTAACAGGCTGAGTGATTAAAATACAGTGTACAAATAGAAGAAAACTTGGCTTAAAATAAAATAATAAAAAAAATATATTTTATGAAGCTTCTGTTTGAGGGTTGTTATGATGTTATATGGATCTATTTCATCATCATGATTAGGCTTCATTCCCTAAAAGAAAGTTCATTCTCTGCAGAGTGCATTTCCATTTTCTCGGTAAGCCCACGGGTGTTGGGGTGATAATGGTAATCTAACAGTTCATCAGACTGCAATCTGTACGTTGTAATCTCAGCAATGTTTTAACCATGATACCTCCAGGGAAAGAATTTCTCCGAGCTCCTCAAATGAACATCAGTGTTGCTGCTTGGGGTCGCCTGATGATGAGCTTCCTCCCTCCATGTAGTTCCATTAGCACTCTGAGTCCCCCGCTTCATGATTCCATGAATGCAGATTTCTCTCCAGTTCCTCTACAGAATCATGTTAACTCAATAACCAAGCTGAGTAGGTAAGTCATGTTCTGAGTATTGCTGTATGACAGTCTGGAATGGGCATAGAATACACCTTAAAATTTTATTGCACCTTACTGAGGTGAAAAAATATATTAATATGAAAGTTGTATCTGTAGAACTTAATTCAGGATTTTAAGAAAAGCTGATGCTGCCTGAAATGAAGTGGGCTTGGTGGGCTGCTCAGCGTTCTGTGGTTCCTTCTGATTTATTGTTGGCAGCTGAACCAATTTCCAAAATCACCGTCCCAACAAGCAGCGCGCTCCAGAGCAGGGGGAACTTCAGCAACTTTGTTTTCCTCTGCAGTGAGAACTGTGGGTATAGAAGTGGCCATAACTAAGCACTATGATGCAGAAAACAAGAAAGCAGATTTTCAAAAGTAACATGAGTCTAATCATCAACAACTTAATAGATAGTTTTCCTTATGTAGAAGAGCATATTTCTTGTTGATGTTTCACACACTTGTGGTGTGAATCAAATGGTCCTCTTGTCCACTGAATTGGCCTGATACACACCTTGCTTACATGTTAAAGGTGATATATTTGTGTTTGCATATAATGCTCTGTTCTAAGGCAATCTCTTCTATTTTTTTCTTACAAACTCAGTGACTTTCCTGTGGCAAAACTTACATATGATGATGAAGCACCACCCAAGCCTCCACGTCTCTTTCTGGTGGCCAAGTCCAAAGAACCAACACCATCTCCTGCAGATTCTCCGGTAATCTGTGCCAATAGGGAGACTTTTATTTGTTGGTTCATATTCTTTCAAGGCCCAATTCTAATTTATTACTGGAGAAATTACCTGTACTTTTGACAGTTGCCTCCTCATCAGCTGAGCTGATTGGTCTCCAAGGTTTCAGAGCCCAGTAAGTTATTCTGGCATGGAGTCTTCATGAAAGTCTTGCAGCTCTTCTTTAGTTACATATTGCTTTTCTTGCAAAATGAAGGTAGGTCAGCACTGGCAATTCAGGGCAGAAGTACCCAATAGATATCTATGAATGAAAAGTAGGGTTCAACAGGCTTTTAGGACCAGATGAAAATGTTAAAGAAATTGGGCAAAAAGAGGGAAAAGCTCTCATTTACTGAGAAAAAGGAACAGGAAAATTGCTCTCAGTGATATAATGCGTAACGACTTGTGTTCAACCATGTCTAATCCATTTCTTCTTTGGCTTTGAAAATAGAGGAGTCTGCATTCTCTAATCACTGTGGTTCTTTTAGACACTTGAAATGTCTTTTTTTTTTTTTTTTTTCTATAAAGAAAATATTTTTTCCTAGGCTTTTTAAAGCATACGTGATAGCAGTTTTGTGTAACCACAGACAACCTTTGTTGTGATGCTGCTTTCCTCCAAGCAGAAGCGATGACCAACTTCAAATACTTGTCATGTCGCATTGTTACACCGGAGGAAATTTGGATCAGGGTGTCTACACCTGATTTGGTGATTCCAGAGAATTACATTCTGCAACTTTCTCTCTGTTCCTAGTGTCTGAAGAGGCTGCATGTAGAGGAGAAGACTTGCAGCTCTGCTTTAACAGAATTTGCAATCCAGGCATCTCCAAGGTAACAGTGGGCAGCATGAGATGTCTTGGGTCACAGATTAAAGAAGCACTGGGCTGAAATTTCTGAGCATAGAGTACAAAAATTCTACTGAAGATATGCTTTGGTTTCTCAGCAGCAGATTCTCAGTGCTGTTTGTGGGCAATACCATGAAAAGTCTGCTCTGAACTTTGCTTCTCCAAGCGTCTGCTAGCCCTTGCTTGCTCATTAAATCCCATTACTTAGCCTACTAATAGACTTTACAACGTAATAACCGATGTTAGTAGGAACAAAAGTCACTTAACTGTCTTCCAGTGCTTCCTTGTGTTAAAATTTTACAGTACAGTGCATTTAGACACACCAAAGTAGAATTGTAAGAAATGTATTTCAAAAACACTCGTTTCTGAACTCTCTGGAAACTCTCGTTTCCTTCATTTCACTCTCAGGAGGAATATAGAGCATCTGCTACCTTTTAAAGGTGATCCTGGTGTAAAGCTTTTGAGGGGTGGGTGTTTTGTTTTTTAAATTATTTCCAAGCAATTCTGTGGTCTGAGTTTCCTTGGTAACACCTTGTAGCTGATGTAATGTTCTATAGAATCTCTTTTTTTATTTCCCTAGCAACATCTTATGTCTGTTGTCTCCCTTTGTTTCATTTCCAATTCCTGTTTGAGAACTTCTCTTCTTATTCCCTTGTCCTCCTGGCACTTGACACACATGTTCATGGCTGGTTGTCACAGTCACTGATGAGCCTGCTGAAAGGAGTGTTGGCAAATCTGCATTTTACTCTCCCAAGGATGGGGGATGTGGGAGAACTCATCTTGTTATGAGAAGTACACTTCAGTGGCCTCACTTCTCAGGATTTCAGCCGAGGTGGCAGGTGTTCACCTTGCCTTTTGCTGTACTGAGCTTCTTCCTCTAACACAAATGCACACTCATCTGCATTCTGTTTCTGCATCTTTTGTTTATTGTCTCAGCAAATCTTGTTTGTTTGTCTTCAGGAAAGGGGCTGTTCATCTCGAGGATTTTCACTGCATCGCCATGCTGGGACGTGGCCATTTTGGGAAGGTAGTGTAGAAGTGCTTTCTTTATGAAGGGCTGTAGGGCTGCTGTTGTGAAGGTGGGCCTCTGCCTCAGAGTCTGAACAGAAATGTTGCAGAGATTTGTTGCACTGCAGATGTACAAAGCAAAACCACAAACAGCTGGTACCCTTGATAACAGCCAAAAGTTCTGAAGATTTGTGGCTTCAAAACATGGAGGAAACCCTCCAGGGTGTGCCAAACTATCTAATGGAGCAGTGTTACCACTCTTTCCATTCTCACTGTGATCATTGGTGGAATAGTGTGATTCCCACGAAGTGTGTACAGGTCCTTGCTGTAAGAGTATTGAGGTGCTTTTAAAACACAGGGCCAGCTGCAATACTGCTGTTTCTGAAAAGACCATAACTCACAGTGATGTCTTTCTGGACTGCAACAGCTCCAGGAGTAGGGAAAAAGAGCTCCATTTTTGGAACCACTTGAGCCTGTTTTAAGAATGGCTGTTTGAAGTGGATGGAAATAGGTTCTGTCAGTGGGAGTCAAAGTAATCCAACAAAGAAATAACAGTTTGTTTGGAGTACAGCATTTTTGTTGTCTTTCAGGTACTGTTGGCCCAATACAAAGCAACTGGGAAGCTGTATGCTATCAAAGCCTTGAAGAAAAAAGATATCATCAGGAGAGATGAAATTGATAGGTGAGCTTTGTGGTACAATTGCCAATGATACATTATCACATCTGTAATCTGTAGGTATGACGTATACTAGTCTTAGTACTATTAATGTTTTGGATGACCTTAAGGCTGGGGTATCTAAAATCAGGAATAAAGGAACTTACAACAGCTCTGCTTTCTAGCTTCTGGTGCAATAACACACACCTGAAGAGCAATCTAAAATTCAAGGCTTGGAAGCATATAAGACAAATATTGTAATAACCACGCTTTTTATTTCCATATCATAAGAGGTAAAGATTTTCATCTTCATTCTGTCTTTCTTGAAACAGGTTTTTCTGCCAAGTTTTAACACTGACATTTTAATTCTTTGAATCCTGGCAGCTTGAACTGTGAGAAGCGAATATTTGAGGTGGTCAATTCTTCTGATCATCCATTCCTTGTGAACATGTTTGCATGTTTCCAGACACCTCATCATGCTTGTTTTGTGATGGAATACACTCCAGGAGGTGATCTTATGATGCGCATACATGAAGATGTTTTTGCAGAGCGTACAGCACAGTGAGTTACAATTAGCCTAGTTTCCAGGCATTGTAAGTGTTTAACTTGGTTCTCATATATTTTTCCTGATAACTGTTCCTCTTTGCTAGGTTTTACACAGCCTGCGTAGTCTTGGGACTCCAATTTCTGCATGAGAAGAAAATTGTTTATAGGTAATGCAGTGAAAAATCAAATATAAGACAGTTTAGCAACTTGAAAGTTTATTTTTTCCTGTAGCTACATCTCTGGAGCTGTCTTGCTGAGGTCTGTAGTCTTTGTCTTTATTTTTCCCATCTCTAAGCTGCTTTGTGAGGCTTTCATTAAGAGGAAAGCATCAGTAAGTTGAGGGGAATCTTCCAAATAATATGTGGTTTGAACTGAATGTAGAGTAGTTGTAGATACTTACTCTTTTTATGAACATCTGGTTTCTGCCTCATGCAAAAGAGTCTGTTGGATGGCAGTCCTCAGATTTCATCCACCATTTTCTTCACCCCCTTCTTTGCTTACAGGGACCTGAAATTGGATAATCTGCTTTTAGATGCTGAAGGATTTGTGAAGATTGCAGATTTTGGACTGTGTAAGGAAGGTGAGTTCCTTTGATGAAGCCAATATTTAAGCATCAGAACAAAGTTTAGGGTCTGGGCTTTGGTAAGGTGTTCACAAATAGGAGTACCAGGTGGCTGTATGTAACTTCATCTCCACTTAAAATAAACATGTATTCATCTCCACTTAAAAATAAACAAATGTTACCTGTCTGCCCATGATGAACTTGGAAAGAGTGCCCTTTGCTCTTCAGGTATCTTGTGAAGCAGTTTAGAGTGTCCTTCTCTGCTGAAAGAAGCAAGGACATAGGATGCTACAGGATATGTACTTAAGTAAATGAACAGTGGAATCTGCAGGTTTTCTTGATTGAGTTGCTTGTTTAAGCATTGTCTGAATTACTATTCAGAGTCGTTGGGGATCTCAGGTATCATACATTCTCATTAGTATTTGCAAGCACTGATGAGAGCCCTTGCATGGTTGACAACAACAAATCATCAAGAGGAAATCTATTGCTTTCAGAAGATGAGACTGCATGAGATCTATTTAGAAGCATGTGCTGGATTTGACAAGAGTGTTCTTGTCCTGCAGGAATAGGTTTTGGAGACCGCACAAACACCTTCTGTGGTACTCCTGAATTTCTGGCTCCAGAAGTCCTCACAGACATCTCATACACTCGGGCAGTAGACTGGTGGGGACTGGGTGTGCTCATTTATGAGATGCTTGTTGGTGAGGTAAGACCGCGTATCTCTTAGAGAATCTCATCACGCAGTGTTGGGCAGAGCAGTATCTGATCACCTGAGATAAAATTTTGATGAAAGTAGCCAACTATTTATTAGTTATTAATAATACTGTGATATTTAGATAGTTTTTCTGTGCTTGCCAAAGAATAATTGATCTCTGCAACTCCTCGCTATTCTCGTTCCTGTATATTAGCAAGGAATGGATGCCATGTATGTTAAGTTAAAAATTGTCACAATTGCAGTCACCATTTCCTGGAGATGATGAGGAAGAAGTCTTTGATAGCATTGTAAATGATGAAGTCCAGTATCCACGATTCCTTTCATCAGAGGCACTTTCTATAATCCGTAAGGTAATGGGTTTGAGGGGTCTCTGGGTGCCTGAGGAATTTGTATTTTACCATAAGTAAAATTACAGGGATTAAAGAAACACTTAAAATTTATGTATACTTTTCCTTCTCTTCACATAAATGCTGTTCTTCAGCTTGAGAATGAACAAGGCAGCTTCTCACTGAGGTCTGTTGCTGCAAACTCTGAAATAGTGAAGTGTTGATTCAAAGACAGAAGCATTTGAGTCATTCGCTGAAAGTGGCTTGATTTGATTTTTTTGAACGTAACCTGGTGGTTACAGGTGCACAGTTGAGATTCTACACCCAGTTTGTACTGCGCATGTCACTGACAAGTTGTTCACAAGGAGCTATGTCTGAGCTATTACTAGCAGTTTGACTTTGCTGCAGAGAAAGTGAATGAGAAAATACTGAGGAGCTGGTTCATCTCTTTCAGCTTTTAATCTTGGGAATGTTTGTTTTGTCCATCTTTGTTCCAGTTATTTAATTCTGAACTGATCTTTCCTGCAGCTTCTTCGAAAGTGTCCAGAGCGTAGACTGGGAGCAGGGGAAAAAGATGCAGAAGAGATTAAAATCCAGCCCTTTTTTAAGGTAGGAATTCACTTTATTCCTCCTCCTTAGCACTTATATTTGAGATGAGAGTGGTTTGCTTTCTGCTGGTACGGTGGCAAATTTCCATTATTTATCAGTGAGATCTTAGTGGCAGCTTCTGTTGCATCTCCTTGCCCTATTCAGGCATTAGTGTTTCAATTCATGTTGGCAATGCACCTCTAAGTGTGTTTTCTGGGCTCTGTAAGCTTCCAGGACCAGCTTGTTATCCCAGATTGTGCTGCTTCTATGTATGAATATACATTTCTTTTAAGCTGTCACCAAATACTGTTATAAATCAAACTGCAACAAAGATGTGGTCTAGTGATGACAGATATTGCCATCCAGTCTAGTTGGTGGCCCCTACATTTGCAGAATATACAAGAATCCTAAGAGAAGTTGGGGTTAAAGACACATTTGGTCAATGGCATATGTTTGCTCTAGGCAAAGGTGTTAGCATTCCTCCTGTTGAATCTCTGTACTACCTGCCCTGCACCAACCATATTGTTTGCTTTGCCATGTTTTTGCCTTCATTTTAACTTCACGTTTCATAAATAATGTCAGCCTGGCCTGTTCACTTCCTTCTCTTACAGGAAATGGATTGGGATGCTTTGTATGCCAGGACTGTGAAGCCCCCTTTTGTGCCCACTCTAAAAGATCCAACAGACATTAGCAACTTTGATGAAGAGTTTACATCACAGAAGCCAATTCTGACTCCTCCAGAGGAGGTTGCTCTCCTAACCCGTAAGGAGCAGGCTGTCTTCAAGGACTTTGACTTTGTCTCCAAACACCTTTTGTATGCTTGATTCCTGTGCTTAAGAAGCATGAACAAATAAATTGTTACCATCTTGAGAGGGTGTAGAGAGGACTTGGCATGGGCAATGGCAAAGTCAACAAACTTCACAGAAGGGGTAGTGGTGAAGTGCTCTGCAAGCTGTTACTCTGCTGTGCTTTTTTCAGCCTCGCTTGCTGGAGTACTGGATGTGAATTACCTTTGAGAAGTTCACTTTTGACTGGATGTGTCTTCTGCTGCCACTGAATATGTATATATAGTAATTTGGAATTTAATCTGAACTTAATTTAATGATTTAATGCGTCCTCTCTGCCTCCCAGGTTACTCTTTACAAAAACCCAAAGGAATGCAGCTCTTTTGGGTTACATAATAGCAGGGAGAATGGGCACTTCTCTCCTGTTTTCTAGAAGAGAAATGCAGTGCTCCTTTGTAATGATTTTATTCCTGTTGCCACTCGTGTATGGCAGAGAAGGAATGGATTTTAACACAACTGAGGTAATGATGTTTGAGTTTGGTAATGATCCCAGTGATGTATCTGAAGTAAAAACAAAACAAAACTCTTTATGCTTCTTTCAGGATGTGAAATCATAGATATGGATTTTAATAACATAAAGAAGCCACCATTTTGCACATGCTTTCTTTTCTTTTCTTTTCTTTTCTTTAAATAAAGATACTATTCCTTATAATGAAGTCTCAGCTTTTCATCTCCTTGGTGTTTGGTGAATGTTTCAGATCACTGCTACCCATACTAAACTCAATAGACAGGATTTTATTTTTCTCTGTAAATGTCATGGTAGTATTTTTCTTCCTTCCTTCCATCCCAAGTTGTCTGTGTACGGATTGCATGGCAAGCTCAGCTGCCACATCCAAATGATTGCAGTCAAGTTGTGTCTCTGCAGTAGTTCATCAATGTGTATACCCTGTGTCTTTTTTGGAATAGTTAAATATTGACAGTGTTAGTGCTGGAAAATCAGGATGTTTAAGCTGATCTAATTTGCCTAGCAACATACTTTGTAATTAAACTTGGTTAGATTCATTTTCTTTTCTTGAATTCATAATGTTAGCTTGCTGGCTAAAAAAGGAAAGCATGTATAGAAATGAAGCATTCCACTTAAGACAAACATGGACACAAAGCTCTTATTCTTTCAGTTTTCTTCAGCAGAGGAAGACAGAAGTTGAACTAATACAATTGTGCTATTTTTGGAGACAAGAAGCAGCTTGTGAGTTGCCTGGGTTAAGTGCTTCAGAACTCAGAGACATTTAAGAGCTTTAGTAAGAGCATATGTTTGTGCAAAACACGTAATTCACTGAGCCTTGTTTTCCTATTTTCAGAGCCAAGTGTAACTGCTGCTGAAACTTCCAGCATATAAACACACTTTCAACCTTCTGCTCTGCACAATTAAAGGAGGAGACACATCTTCCTCTACCAGTTGAATGTAATGGTTGGCTTGCTTATGGCCTTGCAGTTGTTTTGTGATTTTCCCTTTTTTTTCAGGTGAGGACTCCTTCAGAACGTTAAGCCCAGTGGGCTGTTAGTTCAGGTGAAACCTAGAAGTTGAGTTTCAGAAAGAGAGGCAAAAAGAAACAAACAAGGTGTACGTAATTGTTTAATACTTTTATAGTAAAAGTACCATAAACTACCATTCCAGTGCACGTACAGGAGAACTACCAAAGAGCACAACGCTGTGCCTTGAACTTTATGACCTTCTCTGAACACACTGCTCTGGATGCAGGTTACAGACTCTGGGTTTGGTTAAAAAGAAGTCTGCATTTTCAGTCTGCTTTTGGACTATCACGTTGTATTAGTGACTCTATGACTCTATACTGTTCTTTCCTGAGTGCTCACTAGCCCTGAGTGCATTCTGCCAGCTTGCCAGATGTATTCCTGAGCTGCTGTTAATTTCTGAATCAAAGCAATTAAGGCACAATAACTAAGTTGTTGGATGTGGTTTGCTTTTTTTGTTTTTAAAGTAGAAAAGGGTCAGCACTAAAATTCACACCACAGGTTTTTCTACTTTAAATTGTTGATCCTAACTTCCAGTCCCTTACAGAAACTTGAACTATGACCTTCTATTACAATGAAAAACAAGTAAAGCTGCTGCCATCTTGGAATGCTATCAGAAACAAATAGGACCTAGAACCTTTCCTTTGCAAGATTCCATTGCAGTGCTACTTTGTATTATTTCATTAAAATTATACTGACATGCTGAGGTAGCAGCATTACCACTAGTGTTATTTGAGCTAGGCAAGAAGTGCTCACCTCTGTTACTGGCTCTTTCCCCACTAGATACAGTAAAGGCAAAGGGCATGAGGTTATCTGCAGAAGTGACTCTATAGACAAGCATTGCTCTTCTGTCCAAAGTGGTTGACATCATTCTTTGCAGAGTTCATTGAAAATACCCTATGAATTTTTGACCACCATCAACTTAAAGGATAAAAAAACTGTTAGGATGCTGATGAGGGCATCATAAGGTACAGGCTTACTGATCTTGGCTGCATTTGGTGCCTTACAGCTGTTTCTCATGGATGTTAACGCCATGAAACCTCAAAGCGTGCAGTTGAGGCATGCAGTCAAAATGAAATTTGACTTTTGACTGCACAAATATTTATTCAAATATTTCTGTTATGTATCCAACATTACTGACAAAAGGCACTGTGGTTTTCACAGTAAGAGCTATGCTGAAGAAAGGCCACAGGGATTGCATTGATTCTGCCTGGTTTGATGGTAACAGCTGCTGTTTCTTAGCAGCAAATGGAGAGGAAACTTGGGGGAGCAGAAGTTGACAAGGCTGTTCATGCAGTTCTTGCATCTCTTCAGGTGTGGATGCAGGTTAACACAAGGAAGGGGATTTAAAGAGATACCTCTCCTTGGTCAAGACATCAGAACTTCTGACGCCCTCAGAAACAGTGTCTCCCCTTTAACAGTGTTATTCACATCTATAGCCCTGATTATCCTTCTTGGAAGATGATTTGCTTTTACAGATGGACAGGTTGTGGAACATTGCATCCATGATGTATTAAAGTTCGAAGCAAGGTATGCAAAGCTTTATCCAACAACCTGCAGCTGTCTTTTGGCATTTCACTCATTAGCTACCACTGTGACTAGACAGGTTCATTGCTCCTGTGAAAATAGATTTTCTCCCATGCAGTGAGATGACATGAACAGAAGAACCTCCAGAGATTGCGGATTACTCCTTGGTCAAAGGGATTCTGCAGCTCAGAGTGCCGCAGGTAGGAGATGCGGTGGTACGACATGAACTCCCAGGTGGTGGTGTTGCATGAGATCAGGTAGAGGTGTGAAATAAGCAGCAGCAAGACAACAATGGTGAATATGACTATCAGGAGGAAGGATAGGAGGAGGAAAATGTTGTGCCGCAGCCACTCCCAGGACTGTTTAAAGTAAAGGCCTGACCTTTTAAAGAGAAATAAAGTCAAGGTTAAACATGGAGAACTAGTTATATAAACCAAGCGACATATTTAGTTTGACTCATAACTGGTGAGATTCTGATCATCATGTACTGCAGGTAACTTTATACATTGTAAGTAAGTTCTTGACAGATTGCAACAGCAGTGCCTTAGGTTCTAAGAAGTTTAAAAGACACTGGGTTCACCTGACAGCTGAAAGGATGCAGTCATCTTCAGCTGACTCCTCTCCTGTACAGCTCCATGGCTGAAACTCAGATGGAGTTTCCAAAAATCTCATGAATACTGTATTACAATAACTGAAGCAAAATTAGCTGCTCCTCTACTTCTGTTAATTCTATTCGTTTAACCTCTAAACAAAGACGAGCAGTGAAACATAAAACATTAGATCCTGCTCAGCTACTGATCAGCTGTGTTGTTCCTCAGCAGACCAGAAGGCTCAGAAAGGCTGATCTTCAGGATGCAAATCAGGGTGAAGACACGAAGCCGATCCAGTCAGTGCTACGTTCTGCACAAGCCCCTTAAGGGGGATCTCCAGCAGCACCAAGACTCCTAGGTTCAGTGGTCAAAGTGCTGCTTTCCAGGCCTTACCAAGCAACGTGTCCTCCCCACAGCAGAACTACAAGCTGTACACTAAGGTAGACTATGAAGAGGGGGTGATTCTTCTCTCCCACACAATTCTCAATCCAGGGGCAGTGATGGTCATAGCGCCGAACGCAGTGCTGGCACAGCTGGCAGTGCTTGGCTCGCATTGGTTGCTGCAAAGCAAAAACAAAACAGTAACAATAACCCAGTCTTGTTAAACTTACTGCTTGGTAAAAGCATTATGCAAAAACATCCACCTCCCAAAAGCACTCCATGCTGAGATAACAGAACAACATGAGCACGGCTGAGACAAATGAAGGGGACTGAGATTCCCTTAGCACAGATCCCAGCGAGTGAGATCCAAACTAAATGACTGTTCCACACTATCTATGTTTTTTGTTATCTACCTCTGTATAGGAAGTTGAGCATGCAAAGGAGGGATATTAAGTAAATCAGTCTGTTCAGGAAAGAGGGAGCAATGTGTTGAGGGGAAGAACTAGGACCTCTGCTGCTGAAGGAAGTGTGCAGGGGTGGGATGTCTTCAGGGGATTGCAGAGGGACCGACTCTCCTGTTCTGTGGAAATATAAGAGACCTGCACAGCTCAAGCGCCAAGAACAGATAGGATGCAATATACAGCTGAGGAAAGTAGTATGATTGTGCCTCCTAGGATTTGCTCCTTGAAATGCATATGTGTTTTGCTACAATATCCTCCTGCAATAAGCTGATTTCTCTTGCTAGATATTCTTCAGGAATTTATGGGAGCTGGGATAATGCTGGATTTTATTACACTGATAAGGATCTGTACCAATAGGCATTTCTAGGCTTCAGGCAAACTGTTTCAAGAGCTAATTTAATTGCTCCAATTTTTCCTTCATGCAATCTTTTACAATTCACTCTAATGTTTTCTGCTTTTAGATCCCTAAACAAGCTTACAGCTACCAGCAGTTCTGCAGGTCATACCTAACGGACTTTCTGATTTCCTATCAAGATACTTTCAAAATAACCTTTCTGGCAATGCTGTGAGGTCTGGTCAATGTGGCAGTAAGAATGTTGAACAAAGTTTTCCCATGGTGGAATATGTCAAAAGAAGATCCATGTTGGTGTGACTCAGCAGGGACTTGTTTCAATGTTGGAAAATTAGCAGATGTGCCACTGTTTATCATTACACCTGTAGCTACACAGTCCAGTAGGATCACTCTTCCATTGAGGATGCACCTGAGGTCTGTTTGCAAGCTGTATTTGCTTCCTCAGTGGGTTTTTCAGCAGCAGGATGACCCTGCGCCAGAATTCATCGGTCAGCTCTGCCATGCCTCCAAACCACTCCAAACCGAAGCAGCAAGGGCTGAGCATCCTCTGTTAGCACACTATTGCTGCCTACCTTCACCATGCAGTAGCCGCAACGCCGCATCTTAACACTGCTTGAGACCTGGGGTATCACCACGCATTGCTCTTCATTTTTGTCTGCCTATAAATAAATAAACGGAGCGATGAAAGATGTATTACGTGCTGCTGTCTGAAGAATGGCAGCTATCAGCCTGCTTGGCAACACTGAGCTATCTGGATCCTTTTATTTGACAGTTATGTAGTGCTGGTCATCTCTGTCATTAGGAAAGTTAAAATAATTCCCAGCAAAGTACAGAAGCTGCTACACAAATACTGTGGCATGAAATTCCACTGCAGATACTTAGGGTACGTGCAGAGACAAAGGCTACTGTAACCATCAAAAGAATGTTTGTAGAGAGGCGGAAATAATCGTGGACAAGACACCACACAGATCCCAAGTACAATTCAGGACATAAACAAGGTTAGACTTCACTTCCAAACACAATCGTGGGGTCTTTTCAGTATAAAGAGCACTGTTTGCTCATAACACAGCCAATGTCAACGCTAACAGCGGAAGATTAAAACTGGCCATGCCTTGTGTGATCTTTTATCCCACGCAACCAGCAAAGCAGTGAACCTGGCGCAGAACACACCTTGGTTATTCAGCACCTCCACCTGCCCCACTGCAACAAATCCATACGCAGTGCAGTAAATACAGCTGCAGAGTACTTTCTTCTAGGCTTGGCCTTCAGTCCAGGTTCTCCATACTCACACCAGTGAGCAGCGACTCGCATAAAATACGAGATGTAAACATTCCATAGGGCGAAGCTGCCTCTGAGAAAAGAGGACGGCACAGGACGACTGGCTAAGGGAGACGTGGGGTAACAGAAGCACGTAGAGGCTGCAAACCCTTCCTGTCACAGAACACGAGCCAAAGCCTCACAGCCCTCATCACCCAACGGGCTGCACACGTTTTCCTTGTGCCAAGCGCAAGAGAAACCATTCCAAGTTGTTACGTAGCAAAAAGCCCACGGACCGCGCAGCCCCAGCGCATCTTCCATTCACACAGCGATGTACCTCTGCTTCCTCGTCAGCCCTGACGAAGCCCGGGTCCATGAGGGACACCCTGAAGTACAGCAGGACGGAGCACCCGAGCAGCGCTACGAAGAGCGCGGGCTGCAGCACGGCTCCTCGCTCCGCTTCCTTCTGCAGATCTGAAAGACAATCCCATACAAGAGAACGCGGCGGTTCCCGGCACAGCCCTCGGGGCTTTTCTCACTCCACGAGCGCATCCCTCCTCCCGCCGCGCAACGCCTTCCGAGCCCCCAAAGCCGCCCGACCCCCCGGTGCCACCCCGCAGCCCCGGGGCCGGGCAGGCCGTGACGCAGCACCGCCGACCCCGCGACCCCCCTCCCTCCATTCCCGGCCGCGCGCTGCGAGGGCTCCGCCTCACCTGTGCGGTGCACGAAGAGCCCCAGCGTTAAGACCCCGCTGAGGGCGGTGTGGGCGGTCCTCACCCACAGCCCGTCGGCTCCCATGGCGCCGCAGGCCCGGAAGGAGTAGCGCTGCAAGGCGGGGTGCGGCCGGCCCGCCTCGGCCCTCCCCTCAGCGCTGCCCTCCCCGTTCCTCCCTTAGCTCTCAGGCGCAGCCCCGTACCTCTTCGCGCCATGCTGCCCTACGCGGGCCCTTGGCCCTGTTTCCCGGGTACTGCGGCCCTGCGGTGAAACGGGGTTGTGAGAGCCGAGGGCTGGCTGCTAAACGTACACGGCGGTGCTTGGGGCCCGTCCAGGTGTGCGTTGGAGGGCTCTGTATGAGACGCTGCTCTGGTCTGGCAGATTTATTTTATCAGAAACGTGTATAGCAGAACGCAGGCAGGCAGCTCGATTAGCAGAGCTCGATTAGCAGAGCTCTTTTAGCACGGCAGAGCTTTGGTAGGGGCTGCCAGGGAACTGATCTCAGCTCACACATCTGAAGTGCAGACATTTGTGTCTGAGGTCCTGAGCTCTCCTGGCAGCTCTGGAAGGAAATACAGAACAGTCCTCGTCCGAGCGCAGCCATCTGCAGCCCCAAATTGCACCCTGCGTCCGATGCTTTGGTCTCTGCGGTCCTCAGCTTGTTTAGATGCGCCCTCTGCATCTGTTCTGAGGGGACGGAGCTCACCAAAAGCCTGCAGAAAATCTGAAATGTTTTTTGTTGTTTATCTGCTGCTTTTGTTACCTTCCCAGTACACTCTAAAGAGGACTCTCACTCTTTGCAATTGTATCCTCCTGCCCCTGGAAAGCAGCTCACTCCTTGGTGCTGTTTGACCCTTGACTTTGATTATTTCTGTCTGCTTTAAATGTCAGAGGCCACTTGCTGCTTCCAGAGAAGCACCTGGTTGCACAGGTGACACAAATTACTTATTTAAGACAGCTGCATTGGAATGTTAATAAACATAGGAACATGGTTCACCAGCTATGGTGGTGATGGGTTGATGGTTGGACAAGATGGTCTTAGAGGTATCTTCCATAGGTATGGTTCTGTGAGAATGGCCTGAATTTACCTTTATAATGGTCATTCAAATCCTTTTTTTTTTCTTGATTGTTTCTTTTTAATTATTCTAGGTAGTTCAGAAACCTACAGAAATCCTCCCTCAGAAACCTCCTAGATGAGATCAGCACTTGTCAAAACAGTTTGGAGGTGGCCTTGCTACTGTCTGCATGCTTTAAATATCCTGAAAATCTTTCTGTTCAAAGAAAACCTTTCTGAACAGTGGGGAGCTCAGAACAGTAACATCAGCCTCTGTCTGCAACCAGGAAAAAAAAGGTGGGAAGTGTTTTTCCTTTCTTTGTGGAGCGGTGTGAACTTTAAAGCTTAATGAGAGCAATTTGAGTAGTAACAGCGTTACTCACTTCAAAGCAAAAACATTCTGATATTCCAGAATAATCTGTCCTAAGGGATGTATTCTTTCTCCTCTTGTGGTTAGAATAATTTGGTGCATGTTATGCTTTTTTTGTTCTTCATAGCTTTGAAACCTGTCTTGAATGAGAGCTTATCTCTGCCTCAAGGTTTCCAACCCAAAGAGCTGTCTGGTTGATGTCAGGCTTGGTTAGAAACCCTCCATGAGCAGGTTTCTGGGCAGAGGATCTCCATCCTTATGGCATTCCAGCAAGGAATGTCGTGCTGCTGGAAGCATAAGGCATCTCTGTTCTCTGCAGTGTGGTACCTTTTCAGCTCCCTGTCTGTAGTTCCATTTCACATAACTCCTTCTCTTGCTTCAGCCACTGAGAGTCTGACCTGTCAGAGGTTTTACAGTGACCGCTGGATTCACTGGGAGTTGAACTCTTGTGAGATCAGCGTCTTAAGAAGGAAGTCTTGCTGGCCTTAAAGCAGGCTGACTGTTTTAAACTAAAAAGAGTCTTTCTTGAAGTATTCAGCTTCTGCCCACTCGCAGTGCTAAGGCTGCAGAATGCTATAGCCACAGATCCGATACAGAGTTCAGAGGCAATCTGTACAGCCAAATATTGCTCTGACTTCTTTTTTTCCCCTCTGACATCATTTCATAACAACACTCTCTTTCTCCATGCCTCTTTTCTATTGACAAACAGTATTGTATCCCTCAAAGTGATGAAAGCAAAAGCCACTGAACTGCACAATCAACACATGGCAGTTCCTTTAGTTTTTAATGAAATATATGACAGCAAATGGACCAATAATGTACCTGTGTAATTCACACTCATAGACCAAAGGAAAAAGACATTGTTAAGCACTAGCTTTAATACACAGAGAGTATCCCAATGGATACAACAGAAAAGTTAATTCGTTCAGAATTGTAAGGAAGGAACAATTGTGCATGATTTTTGGGGGGGGGTTGGTTTCACCATGAACAAACGTTTGAACCAGGCCTCTCAACACAGGCAGGTCAAGGGACGGAGTAAAAGCAGAAGCTTGCTCATTATCACTGAGATTATTTTCTGTATGCAGAATGTGGGAATAGCTATTTGGTTAGCTAAAAAACTTTGTTTGTTTTTTAAAACAAAAAGGAATTACAGAAAGAATCAGTGACAATTATCTGAAGCCAAAACAGTCTGTTAGAGCAGAAATGTTTCAGTGAAGCAGGAAATCTCCCTAATTCCTGTTCTTAAGTACCATCTTTTCATCCATCCCTGACAACTGTTACCCTCTTTGCTTTGTACAGATGGTTGTCGTGGAGATCAGCTGTTTCCCCTAATTTTTATTGTCTTTTTTTCCAGTGCATGCCACCCCCTACACCCCATCTGTGGCAGTCTTCTTCCTAAACAGCCTCAAGAAATTTTTTCTTGTGGAGTAGTGCCTGAATGCAGTGCCCTTCCTCTGCTGCCCCGAAAATTCATCATCTTCTTCAAGCGATGAATAGAATAAGCTCACAGCTCTAAGGCTTTTCTTCCCCTCATCTTTTGCAGAGACCAAAGCAACTCAAACAGGAGGCTGGGTAGGATTCAGTGCTGAACAGATAATATCTGAGCTAGCAGAGAGGTGCAGGGCGATAACAGCTATGATGCAGAAGGGTCAGATTAATTATTTGCATTGTTAATAATTGCCACAAGTATGAGTGCTAAACTTTCTCAGCATGGTCTCAGTGGGAAAGTCTGGTGCTGCTACACATTAAGCATCATGCACACAGATGCCAATCTGTATAAGCAGTTCCTCCCACAGATCTTGTCAAATGGAAGCACCTGTGGAAAGCTGCCCACCAACTTGTTGTCACATCTATTCCAGGGAAAATGGCAGACAGCTGACACCCCGCGTGCTGAGGACTGCTGCATCATTGTGCTGGGTCACTGAGCCATGAGGCATTTTCCAGCCAGAAAGGAAACTACTTGCACTGGAGGTAGAGGGTTCCTTTGTTGGAATAGTCTCTGCAGAGAATTACTGAGTTGGTTCATGTTCTGCCTGCCCAGCTTTTGAGTATTAAGGGAAATGTGAACCTAAAAACATGAGTGAGAGTGTGAATGAGACAATAACTGCAAAGCAAAAGGAGTCCCTCTGCCGTACTTGATCAGACTGTGAGCTTCTTTCCAGCTGTATTTTCACCTTACATTTGGAAACCCTGTTATAGTTTTTTAGACAGGATTGGTTTCTATAATCTTGAGTGTGAAACTGAAGCCTCCTTCCTCTGCAGTATGGGGTTTGACATGGGACAGTTCTTTTCTAAACTGGCCATTTCAAGCTCTGGGAGGGTAGGTTTAGGTTGGATATAAGGAAAAAAGTCTTCTACAGTGAGGGTGGCGAGGCACTGGAACAGGTTACCTAGTGTTGTGTTGTGGTTGATGCTCCATCTCTGGAGACTTTCCAGGTGAGGCTGCATCAAGCCCTGGGCAACCTGATCAGATCCAGCTGCAGTGTGCATTGCAGGGGAGTTGGGCTAGATGGCCTTTAAAGGCCCTTTCCAACTCTGAGGATTCTGTGATTCTATGTAGCTATCTTTTCTATGTAATTTTATGTAATAGACCAGAGATAGTTTTCCCCACCCCCTATGGTTAAATGGCAGATTCACAGAGCTAAACCTTTCTGGCAGGCTGGCCTGACTCCATTAATCTCCACATTCCTGGGAATCAGAAATCTTTTTCTGGTTCAGACTCAGGTACACGAGGATACGTGAGCAGTGAGAAGTTATCTTTGCTTTGAAACAAAGGTTTGTTAGTTTGTGATACCACAGTGCAGCTGCAGCAGGCGTGACTTCAGTAACAGCTCAACTTACAGAGGGACTGCTTTGAACTTTTGGGGTCCTTCAGGCTGATGGAACCAAGCCACCATTTGTTCATTAACCTAGAAGCAGTTTTGTCAAAATCTCAGAGTAAAGCCTGATTACAGTGCAAAGCTGAGATGTGCTCCAGCTGCCTCTCCTGCAGGGCAGCTGTGTTCTGAGGATACAGGTTTCTGACAGTGTATCCACCATGTTTCCCCATCTCCTCCAATCCCACCTTGCCAACGCTGTCAGAACCATTAGGGTTTTCTTGTCACTTGATTCAAGATTTTAGTGGTGGAAGTTTTCACTGCGTGGACATCAGAAAGGAAGAAAATCTGGTGGGTCGGCACGGTCACATGAGACAACTTCAAAAGGATAGCACTGCATAGAGAATAACGTGAGCAAAGCCTGGCTCCTGCAATGCGTGGAGGCTGGTCAGCACTATATGCAGCTGCTCTTAGTTTTGCATCTAGGAGAATGATTAGCAAGCATTACACAGAAAAGGCCATGAAACAAACATCTCTGTCTCAAAGCTTGCAGGGACAGAAATTCTTAGGGAACAGGAATAAAAGAGAGAAAAATACATTTCAATCAAACAACCACAAAAAAGTGTAATTTGTCAAGTTTTTCAAACTGTATGAAAACAATTCAAAAGTGACACAAAAATATATATATAGTTTGAAAAATACTTAAAGAAAAAGTACAGATCTCACAATATCAAAACATGACATGGTTAAAAAGAGAGAAGAAAAGACATTGGGTAACACCGTGTTGGCAGAAAAAAGTAAACCCCTCCAGGGCAGCTGTGTTCTGTCATTTAAAGTGTCAGTTTGTGTCCCTAGGAT